GAGGTTATGGAAGAACTGACAATAACAATGACAGTTTTAATGCAATCTGGGTGCGCTCAGTTTAATCAGTGAACAGAGTTGGAAGATTGGAAAGAGATGATAAATGAATCCAACTAAATCAGCATCAAAGTAAAGGCTACTGCACCTGGTCTGCAGTGCAGTCTTATGACCACCCAATGGAAGAACATCTGAATGGCTTATTACATTACATTTCACTTGTTAGATGCTTTTATCCAAAGCGACTGTGAACAATCCCCACAGGAGCAATTTGGGGTGAAGTGTCTTGCCCAGGGACACAACGACATGCAGTGGGATTCGAACTTGCTACCCCCTGATTCGAAGTTCAGCGCACTACCCACTGAGCCACAGCCTCCCATTGTGTTGTGCTGATTATGCCTTCAGCGCAATCATTGAGCCGGTTTCATGTATCTCACAAGAGCACTACAGGATCCTTGGTGCCTACACCTCTGAGTGCAAAAAGGTTTATAAAAGACCTTGTTCTGTAAATACCCAGTACTAAAAAATATAGCCCCTTGTCAGGATTCCCTGCACAACAACAATGCTTTGCTGCTTTAACTTATAATGAAGTAGATGTTGATTGCAGAATGTTATTACATTATTGGTTTATACTAAAAGCCTTTTTTTAACAATGCAATTCTGTCTACCGGGTACGATCTCCCTAGAAAATTAATACTTAGAATGCTTAAAATATATGGCACAAAAGAATTGCGTCAACCATTGTACAGCTAGCTATCTGTTGTAAGCAGAAATGGAGGACTTTGGAACAACTGGAGGCACTATAGAAACCCCAAAAGAAATAGAGCTGTGTTTAAGGTGGAGGCAAAGAAGGCTAAAATAGAGTAAACCTCGGACAGAGATTTACTCAATAAGAATTCTGGGACTTGAGAATGTTCTGGACCCACATTCAGTTGGCATTATTTCTACCGATTAGGTAATTAGCCATGGATATGAAGTAAAAACGGAAAGCAGCCTTGTTGTCTTTCGAACAGCAGAACCAGCAATAATACCACCTTAAAACACTAAGGATGGGGACGTTTTTTGGTATCATCAATACATTGCCTTATCACGTGCCCAATCCAAAGCCATGCTAAATGACGCACCTGATATCAGTCAGTGGACTCTTCCAGGGCTTTATTGGTCATGATAGTCACTAGTTGGCAACTATCACCTTATTTCAAATCCAGGAGTTAAAAGCAACATCAGCATTTAGAGTATACGGATCAATATTTCTGGCAACTTGCCCGATATCTACTCTGTGTTTTCTTGAACAACTCCTGAGGGAAATGTCTGGCTCTATAGCTGCTAACTGCTCAACGATGTTTACCGGCTTGTTGCTAACTGTGTCTATTTGCTATCTGATGGTTTGTTAGAGCTTTTTTGCTAAAAACAGCTGCCTGCTGATGAGTGAGACTTCCAAATGTATGTTTGTTCATTTGAAAGGAAGGCATCATAACAAACAGGTGTTTTTAATTTGTCTGTCTTTACAATTCAGTAAATCTGAGAAATCACCTTTGCTCGACCGAGTTTTCAAGCAGTACCACCTGGAAACTGATGTGGAGCATTTTTTTTTCCCTGGGAGACGTGAAGGCAGTAAATTAACAGACTTTCAGTTTCCGAGTGTACCTGTTTAATAACCTCAGCCAGGAGAAATCAAATGTTGTTCTCTATTCATGGGGCTAGTGGTAAACTCAGTGCCTCGCAGGGTCAAACGGCCGAAGAAACTGCAAGATTAATTATGTATTGGCGCTATCCTTGGCTGCTTCTCTCACCTCGTCCTTTTTTCTCATCAAAGCTTTATAACATCTATCCACTGCAAAAACTCCTCTTATACCATCCACCTTATACTTAGCCAAAAATTCTTACTGAACTTGTTTTGAGAATAAAGTAGCAGGAGCTGCTGTGTAAAATGATGAATCTTATTTTATTAATATTTGACTTTCTTACTTGGTTAGCAAATCTCATAATTAGGTAATTTATAAAAATAGTAAGCTTAATTACCAGGTTAGAGTCAGGGTAAGGTTTCTTTAGCTTTAAGTACCGTACTTGTTTCAACAATAACCAGTAACTACTGTTTGAAGAATAACATGGGATCCATTCAGATTTTAATTCATATCAATAGTGGTGTGAAATCACAACATTAATTCCTCAAGCAATAACACGTTGGTATTTTTTCTGCTAATTTCAACACATGTGTCACCTTTTCTAGCCTCCTGATGTCTTACTTATTTCAAGAGTTATTATAAAGTGTAGCTTGTTTGAAATCCGTATCTACTCAAATCACTTTTTTTCTCTTTGTTTTTCGTTGTTCCACTTCTATATCTTTCAATCACACCTTTTCTCTCTCAGCTGGGCACTTGGAGGTAAACCATGACAGAAAGCAGAGTAGAAGAGAAGAAAAATTGATATTTATTCACAGTTATGAGTCTACTGTGTTTTAGGCTAGAGATGTGGCGTGTTGTGTTTTGCAGAAGCTGTCTTGTTGCCTCTGCATCATTGACGTCCAGAGTATGGTCTGCAGGCAGAAAGGCACACGGGCATGTTGCGCTTTCACATGCAGTTAGGGCTGGATTTGTACGCTCCCCTTTCTTACTCTGTGCATGCATGACATTTGCAAAAAAAACATGAATGTGTTATGAGTGTGAATGCCATCTTTACATATCACTACTCTTGTCTTTCTGGGATATGAGACAGGTTTGTTTTTGTACGGTTGCAGTTTCATAGCTATGTTTGTGTGCATGTATATTATTCATAGTTCTGTTCCTTCTAAATGTTATGTTCCTGGCATCAATTTATTCCACAGCTGGAGAAAATAAGATGCTCCACAAATTAGGCCTATGAATAGCCTGCAGTGTTGTTACCGTTTGGCTCCACATGGAGGCTTATATAAGGTTATCTAAAGATATTTGACGTCAGCTCTGAACATTACACGACAAGTAACTTATGAGATGCTTTTATCCAAAGCGACTTACTTACACTCAATACTGTGGACAATATGTACAGGAGCAATTTAGAGTGAAGTGTTTTGCCCAAGGACACAACAGCATGCTGACTGCAGTGGGTGTCAGGGCGGATTGAACTGGTGCTACTAACCCACTAAACCGTCATTCAGTATGGATAAATGTGTTTCAAAGGAGCTGCATACACAAAAATAAGCAGTTAATACTTGTATTACATAGGAAATGCATGACATTAGAGTCATTTGGAGTACAAAATATCTAAAAAACTCCATTCAACAGATCAAATGTTCAAACAATTTCAAACAGCAGTATATGACATTTACGGTATATAAGTAAGACGACAATTCAACCAGTTAAGCCCCAAGCCTGTTTTTCAGGCCTCAGGCTCGAAAATGACATTCCCAGAAAAAATGACTATAACTTCACTTCTAAAAGGAGTCAATTAATATTTTTTTTTCTCAAAGCAAGGTTACATCTGTGAGTTGGATGTAGAAGTGTCAGAATCAATATAGAATTGTTTTATTTTAAAGTAAATTCAGATTGAACATTGTAAAAAAATGTAAATTATAGTGTCCGTCCAAAAACAAACATTACTTATAGTGAAAACCACCCTTGAATGATGGGATAGTAGACTAAAAGCTTTAGGAATCCAAACTACAACATACAATAAGTACCCTGTATCAAGATTGATGCAAAATAAGTGACATTTGACCTGGGGTCATTTGGGTGCATTTTCCATAACTCTGGCCCCCCTCGGTCGATTTTGATGATTGACACCTATTTTAAACCGTTAGAGCCAATAGATTGGATAGATTAAAATCCATCTAAACATTAACCATTGGCGAATGAGTGATGCATAGCCAGAATGCCCCGGAAACGGAAGCTGTCATACACTAGTAGCTATCCTAGCAGCTGATATGAAACTTCCGTTATTGACATAAAAATGGAATGATGGATTATCAGTAATCATTTCAAAGTGACACAGACACATTGGATTAAAACCAGCGTTTCTAAAAGTGTGGGGGCGAGAATCGACGCGATGAACGGGAGATTATTATTATTTTTTATTTTTTAAATAAATTATTTGGACCTCAGGCCGGAATCGAACCTGGGTCCTCGTGGGCGATAGTGGGCTGCTTCGCAACAACGGGTGTTTGCGGCGGCGGAGTTGAGCAGGCTCGGATTGGCCATCGGGAGATTCTGGACTTTTCCCGGTAGTCCATACCGGGGGCATGGGGCTTAACTGGTTAAGAGATACATTTTCAAAGTCGGAACTTAATGGATGTCTTTTTTTTTCTCTCTTTGGTGATATGGGTCAGTAGATTTTTTTTTTTTATCCCCCGCTTGCATATCAGGGCTTCCGCAGAACCATTACATTTAACATTGAGTTTAAGTTCCCAAAACATATGTTTGTAAAATAAAACTGTACAACTTACAATCTTCATAAAATATTACCGTGTTATTTATTTATTTATTGCATATACATGTTTTATTATATCATTTTTATCCCTTCCCTTCATAATCTTTGCCATTTTGCAAAACATGCAATTCCCTGCAGTAGAAGTGACTCGGAGATGTTGAAGCTGAACTGAAAACATTCTACAGTTTAAGAATGTGCACTACACAGCGTACATTTTACGCAACTATTCTATAATTAAAATTGATTATACAGTGCATATTTACATCATGTTTGCATCTTTGCAGAAAGGAAATGTGGCCTTAAACAACTGGAACGTGGAGGGAACGGCAGTTGTAATTTAGTTTGTGAATGGGGTTAAAATGCAACTTTAATGCATCATGGAGCATTATGTACAGGAGGCTTTTACAAATCGCCTGTTAAATAGAATATGAACCAATAAAATAAGGCTACACATCTTAAATATGTACACTAAGCCAAATAGTGAAAAATCAGCAAAAGTGTATCGGTACATTGCTCCTGGCTTTTATATGCTCTAATAACAGTAGCGAATGAATCATTTTTTAAGCTCGACCCTGTGGATAAGGGTTAGCTTTTCATGATCTTTAGCCGCTACCAAAGTGCATGAGTAGACTGTGTTGGGTCTTTATGAGAGACAACGTGCTGCCAGGGCTGTGAGGGTGAGTCAGATCAAATGCACCCTGGGGAACATGGCGTGACATCCCACTGACAAACAGGCAATAACACACAGCGGGAGCAGCTACTAGGGGATCTGAGAAATCATGATGAATTAGTCAGTTATGTTGCTGGTGTCAGACACTCACTTTAAATGGTATGCCCTTAATCTACTTACGCTATTCTGGTGTGCTCTCAGTGTCCCATTCTCTGAGTCTGTTTCCTTCCTTTTCTCCATCTGTCTATTTGCATTCAGCTCAGATTTTTGGGTGAATTCAACAACCCACATACAGCCACTTTTAAAGCACTAAATCACATTCAAGAATATCATAACTGAAGCAGTGTAAAATTATGTAGGAACCTTTGGCTTCCATTACATGTCTCTTTTCAGGGTTCGTACGGGTGCTGGAAATCCTTGAAAATGCTTGACATTTTACGAGGTGTTTTCAAGGTTGGAAAAGTGCTTGAATTTTGGGAATGGTGCTTGAATAGTAGTAGAGCATTTTGGATTAGGCTAACGTTGCATGTTACGTTTGTTTAAGCTAACGTTAGCAAGCTGAATAGCGAACTCAATGAGAGATGATAATAATTGCAGAGGACAATCATTTCAGAGGAGCGTACCTATGTTAATATGTGCGTTACAGTCGCCATCCTGTGGTGTCACGAAATATAATCTATTGATTCGACACAGAACGATTTTAAAAGCAATGTATTCTACTGGTAGTATGCTTCGTGCCTAAACCAAATGTGACTTGCTCTCGAAATAAGTCACATTGACCCGAAGACACATTTTCGTTTGTATTTCTGGTCTGGGGGAAGCTCGTGAGTGTGTGTGTTTGTGTACCGGGGAAACACTCACAAGAAACACCGGCTGTTGTTATGCCTGCTGTGACGTTAAGTTACTCCGTTCTCCGCTTGCGTTACAAGCTTCAAAGTTGTATTTATCATGAGATTTTGGCAATAACAGTTTCATATTCTGAAAGTCAAGACTTTGTTTATTTAAAATCAAACAAAACACCCGAACCCTTAAAAAAATAGTTTTTTGTACACAAATCCACGTTTATTTGTTTTAACTGAGCCATTTCGACTTTTGACTGATTTCGATAGAGCGGGTCACACATAATAACAAATTAGAAGGAATAAAATATATACAGATTTCAGTATTCTGAGGCTCTGAGCCCCATTTCTTTTCCTCACAGAGGGCAAAAAAAAGCCAGACATTATACGATTTAAAATAAAAACAAATAAATAAGTGGCTTGATATTGAGTAAGAACCATAGACTGTATATATAAAGGTAAGAACATGTTTTTATGAACCACACAGCTTCTGGTCTTCCTAGACGCGACCGGACAAAAAGACGTGGTGCAGGCACGAAACATACTACCAGTAGAAATACATTGCTTTTAAAATCGTTCTGTGTGACACGAAAAAAAGGGGAAAATCATGTTGGTGAACACGAATCAATAGATTACATTTATTTTGTGACTATAACACGAAATGCCATGAGACTTGGTTGCGTAATTAGACCTTGGCTTGTTAGAATGTTGTTATAAATTATAAACTGAGGATTTGACCGTGTCGCTATGTTTGATAATTTTAGAAACAGGCTTTAATATAAAATGTTGAAGTATTATACAAGTAAAACTACATTTTGCTTTAATCCCATGTAATTGTAGAAGAAACACAGTCTTCCTTTGAAGATGTATAAGACAGGTGTCTTGAGTAGTCAACATTACCTATAAATCATTGTACACATTTGTAAATATTATTTTCCACTTGTTACCATTGTGAGTCTATTTTTATTCAGCTCTGCGTGATTTTGTGGCTACAATTCAGGCTAATACGCTACCAGAGGTGGAATAAGTACTCAGATATTGTACTTAAGTAAAAGTAGAAGTACCGGAGTGTAGGGATACTCTGTTACAAGAATAAGTCCCTCAATCAAAAATGTTCCTCAAGTAAAAGTATTAGCATCAAAATATAGTTAAAGTAGCGCAACACGTTCTCACTTCCAACCCGTCACATGTTGACGGACGGTCAGGGCCCCTCCCCGTCACTCTATTACGGACAGGGTACCCCTTGAGAGTCAGTTTTCAACGGGCAGGGCGTCCCATAGACCTTCATAGACCTCCCATAGCATTGATAATAGACACCATGAGAAC